ATCCCTAAACGTGGGTTTCTCCAAAGGTGTTAACGTCTGAGACCTGCACCACTTCGGGCTTTCCTCCCACGGCTGTCCTGACACGCCGAGATATAACTGGAATAATGTTAAAAGCAATATTAAACCCAACTCACTCACTCACCCATAATGCTAAAACACATTGAAGTTATTTATTAGAAATAAACATATCAACAAAAATAACTTCACGGACTGCTCTTTTAATCATTACAACAAAAAAAAGGGTAGACAACAGTACAAAAACAGTGACATCGTTCAACATAGTAATGCAACACTAGTTCTGCCCATTCTATTGTCAGCCCAGCCATCATATAGCTGGAATATTGCTGAATGCGGCATTCAACAAAAAAAACAAAAAAATCTATTGTCAGCCAATTATGAAACAGTATAGAAATAATTTGCTTTATGAAAACTTAAATGCCAAAATATTTTTTTGGTTATCACCAAATTTCAATTTATTTATTTTCATGTTTTGTTATGAATAGTGACTCCAACTGAGAGGGGTTAGTCGCCTCTCAGTGGGGTAATCAGAACCACATATTTTTGTTCGGCCTAATGTTTTTCCTTTGTCCAGCTTCCAATGGTGTTGAACTGCTCCGTAACGTAGTGTACTTTGTTTGAATAGCCATATAATGCTGCTGCAGCTAAGGAGCTGTAAGACACATTGATCCATTTCCAGCTGTATCCTTTTATTTATTGCTTGGGTAATTGCGTACAAAATCAATAATAGAGGATGTACACTATGTTGAAACTCACAAGGCTTACTCTAGTTATGGAGGGACTTGGACTCCAGGTTGTCACCAGGAGGAACGTTGTACATCTGACCGATTTCTGAACTGTGTGTCTATCCTCTTGATTCCATCATTGTGACAGGAAACACAGCGTGAGTGATCTTAATTACATGGCATCCTCATCACTTGATTTGTAATGCTACTCCAAATAAATGTGTTTGTTTTGGAGTTTAAACGCAATGGTCGGAGTGTTATTGTCGTCAGGCTGGGTTGATGTATCAGGTCTGGATCGTATCGAGGGCATGAAGGTCACGGTGCTTGGTCAAGGAAATAATTTAATCACCACATACTCATGAATATCACAATTGTAGGTTTTAACTTGATATTTTGCAGGAAGGAAAGTATTGAGGCAGCTTTGGCTTTGTGTTGTCATGGTTACGCTTATTCTTTGATGAGGCTTTGAATTTGATGGATTTAGTGGTGAATATCTTTGTTTGAACTCATACTGTTTTAAATAGGTTAATGAATACTCCCTCTTTTATCAAAACTTGATGGATATGCTGATAAACTTTTGTCACATTTACAATAATGTCATGTGTGACTGCTCCCTCCAGACCCGTGAAGATCTGGTGTAGAATAGGTCTTCAGCAACCCATGCTTGCCGTAAAAGGCGACTATGCTTGTCGTAAGAGGTGACTAACGGGATCGGGTGGTCAGGCTCGCTGACTTGGTTAATGCATGTCATCGTATCCCAATTGGGTAGATCAGTGTTCATGATGTCAATCACTGGATTGTCTGGTCCAGACTTATTTACAGACCGCCGTCAAATAGCTGGAATATTGCTGAGTGCGGCATTAAACAACAAACAAACAAAAACTAAGTGTTGTTACCCTGCTTAGGGCTCGGCATTAAGGGATAAAACAACTACTGGTCGGCCTGGAGTCGGTATACTGTATCTGTGTATGGTATTCATGTTAAACTGGTATATCTTGTTCATCTCAGTGCTAGCACTTTAAAACCAGCATTATTCCGGACTAGTACTAGCTAACACACACAGAGGCATGCACCTCTCGATATATGTGCGATTATCTTTAACTGTAACTTAAAATCCCATTTCGCCTCACATCTTCTTAGGCTATGAGAACAACCTCATCACATGTCACAAGAACAACACGGCATCCTCCACCAGTGTCATCAGTGAATGGGGTTTAACTCCATAGTCACACTGTCCCTGTCCTCTTGTGCTGTAAAGTGAGGTTTTACACAGCTTTTAGCAATATTCCAGCAATATAACGGTTGGGAACACCAGAAATGGGCTTCACACATTGTACCCATGTTGGGAATCGAACCCGGGTCTTCGGCGTGACTAGGGAACACTTTTGCCAATAGGCTACCCTACCGCCTGTGCTGTAAGGGTATTTGTAGGTACTAGCCTCAGATTTTAGAATAGCCACCCTGTGACATGACCGCAGTGTATATTTAAAATAAACCCATAAACCTGTTATCTGACAGCTCCAGATCAGGGCCCAGTTCCACAAAGCGATCTAGGCACTAAGTTGATTGTAACTCCCATTCTTTAACACTAACTTACGACAGTTGTGGCGCTAAGATCGCTTTGTGGAACGGGGCCCTGTTGTGTATTCATGGTATTTGAGTAAAATAGGCCAAACTAATCACTATTACCCAATTAATTTTAAGATGCTTGTATACAAATATGCATGAGAAAATTTCAAAAACCCAATAGTAAAACAACACTACAAAATTACCCAATGTATCATTTTCAATTAGCGGATGTATATTTTTTCACAGATCTTTATTTTCTGTTCAAATGCAGGTGCCATGTATACATGACCTCATATGCATATATAGACACTGCTGTGAATAATGCATGAAGCGCAACGTTCGCTTGTTAATTATATATCTATGTCGCTGTTCTGAGTTTATGCGACATGTTACACTTAGGGCAGCACACAAATAGACACAAATTAGAAGTCATATAAAACTGCATTTCTAGCACAATTTAGAAAAATATGTAACTCACTGGTGTGAAAAAACCCAGTAGATTGGACCAATTGAAGGTAGTAAAATATATTGAATACCCAAAGAAAACTATTAATAATATTGTGAATGATAACTTGTGAGTAAATACTCAATGGCTCAGTATTATTTTGAAGACTGATCTTAGGTGTCCTTGCCATGTACCCCGTGCTAGTCCTGCCCTGTGATAATATCCCACAACATCCCTGCCCTGCCCTGCCCTCCCCTGCCCTGCCCTGCCCTGCCCTCCCCTGCCCTGCCCTGCCCTGCCCTGCCCTGCCCTGCCCTGCCCTGTCCTGTCCTGTCCTGTCCTGTCCTGTCCTGTCCTGTCCTGTCCTGTCCTGTCGCCTACATCACCTTGCCCTGTTCCCAAGTACAACATCAGGCCCTTGCCCACATCACTTTTAACCCACCCTCTTCACAGTGTGAACCAACCTGTGACCCATGTTTCCCCTGTCATGTGACCCCATGTTTCCCCTGCCATGTTTTCCCTGCCATGTGACCCCATGTTTTCCCTGTCATGTGACCCCATGTTTCCCCTGCCATGTGACCCATGTTACCCTTGCCATGTGACCCAAGTTTCCAGTCATGTGACCCCATGTTTCCCCTGCCATGTGACCCATGTTTCCCTTGCCATGTGACCCATGATTCCCCTGCCATGTGACCACATGTTTCCCCTGTCATGTGACCCCATGTTTCCCCTGCCATGTGACCCCATGTTTCCCCTGTCATGTGACCCCATGTTTCCCCTGTCATGTGACCCCATGTTTCCCCTCCCATGTGACCCCATGTTTCCCCTGCCATGTTTCCCCTGTCATGTGACCCATGTTGGCCCTGCAATGTGACCCCATTCTTCCCCTGCCATGTGATCCTATGTGTCCCCTGCAATGTGACCCCATACTTCCCTTGCCATGTGACCCTATGTTTTCCCTGCCATGTGACCCCATGTTTCCCCTGTCATGTGACCCATGTTTGCCCTGCCATGTGACCCCATGTTTCCCCTGTCATGTGACCCCATGTTTCCCCTGTCATGTGACCCCATGTTTCCCCTGCCATGTGACCCCGTTTCCCCTGCAATGTGACCCCATGTTTCCCCTGTCATGTGACCCATGTTTGCCCTGCCATGTGACCCCATGTTTCCCCTGCCATGTGACCCATGTTTCCCTTGCCACGTGACCCCATTTTTCCCCTGTCATGTGACCCCATGTTTCCCCTGTCATGTGACCCCATGTTTCCCCACCATGTGACCCCATGTTTCCCCTGTCATGTGACCCATGTTTCCCCACCATGTGACCCCATGTTTCCCCTGTCATGTGACCCATGTTTCCCCTGCCATGTGACCCCTTGTTTCCCCACCATGTGACCCCATGCTTCCCCTGCCATGGTGTAATAGGATCCACATCAAGTGGTTTCAGTTCTCCTAGACATACTATTCAATAAGACAAACGTTATGTCTAGGAGATGTGTTCTCGTTACCTTAGGCTAGCATCTATCTAAAAAGCTATAACTGAAACTACTGATATTTTATTTATATATTTTTACCTGATGATATGTATTACTTGCTAAACAGTTATTATTTGAAATGATGTATAAATATTACACCATGATAACTCATAAAAGCACTTGAAGTGGATGTAATTATTATAGGAAAACTTAGTATAAATGTTATATCGTGATAATTCACCAAAGGAACTATATTACATACACATTTACTAATGATAGTCCAGGAAAATAATCTTATTTTAAAATATATATCTACAAAATAAAAGAAAGAAATCCAAATGGAGTACAGAGCAGTGCTTAATTTCAAGGCTGAGCAATCTAGACTTGCCCAATCTTTCTAGACTTGAGTTGGACTCATTTATTCTCTTGGGTCTTGGAGACAGACGAAAGGCAGGGTGTGGGGGGTGTCTTCTGGGTCCCTTGTGATTTTCTGACATCAATTTTATCTATGCCCCTTCAATTTTTAACATATGGATTATGACCTTCATCCTATGAATTTCATGCTTAATTTCAAACACTCAAGAATAATACCTCATCATACACAACAGATACCTGATTATCGTCACTGAACCATGATTACTGTCATTCTCACAGAATTATATATATTAGCAGCTTCAGCCTACTGCCCTATTAATAAGGCAGTAGTTATGTCGCTGATAAGAGTCATGTTGGCAGGCGAGCTGTGGCTTCTGGTGAGAGAAGCTCCCTGCTGAACACACACAGTGGAGTATTGTGGAGCATTGATCACTGACAAGCCAGTTAGCAGGCACATCTCCAGGCAGCCCTCCTATCTGGGCTAATGCATTGACAGAGGCTGTTCCGCTACATTGGGTATCGGAGCTGGCTGTCAACCATTCGTCACATCACCTCTGTAAGGCCAGGTAAGCTAGACACTGAACCCATGACATGAAAGGTTCAGGCTTTTGTGGCCGGTCAGATAAATCTTGAGATACAGGCCCAGATTTCTTTCCTTTCTGATAAAAATATAGGTGGTGTTTTTGTGTATGGACTGGCTGGGATATTGTCGGTGTGTTTTGTGGCCTGTGAGGATGTTGGGGTGGCCCAGCTATGTGAAAACTGTCTTCGTCGTCATATGTTCGTTTGTCTGAGTCCCCTCCGTGTATCCAAGCAGAAGCCCTCACGGTCCACACACGGTTTCAAACGTTTATACAGGAAGTGGAAAGATTCTGACACGCTCACAAGCCTGTGCTGTGCTGGGCAGTCTGTCAGCCAGTAATAGAAAACGTATGTGAGCGGAGGTTTTCTCCTCTGACAGAACTAATACCAGTTTGAACATTACAGCGGTTACATTCGGGTGTGTCAAGGCAGATCTGCTTCAAAGGAAGATTCAAATCTGGAGATATGTTTTCTGGAATTGTCAGCTGTGCATGTTTGTAGAATCCATTTGATTTCTGTGTTTTGGATCTGACATTCAGTGGCATTTGTGTTGTTGGATTTGGAGTTCAGAGATAGGAAATTATTCATTTCCTGAATGCAAGGTATGTTTTTGTTTGTTTCTATGATTTTATGGGAGATTTGTGGCGATACCAATATCATTACAACAAAACATTTATCTCCAGTAATAATATTTCTTCGTCACATTGTGAGATTTATCACTTTGTTAGGCATGAGATGACAGACTGCTAGCAGGTTAGCTCAGAATATCTATGAAATACTGAGTCATGTAGAAGTTATCACTTTTTCAATTTGTCAGGACAAATCAATTCTGTACTACGAGACAGAGGTAGGGAGACTCACTGGCTGAAATGTCTTCTCACATTGAAGTGCATTATCTCTGAAAGGAATTTTCAAAAACATCTTTTTAGACTGGAACCATCTGCTTGTTTCTGGAAAAAGCTTTTATGGTCTGATATTTTTAGACAAAAACTGTTGTTCCAAAAGACAACTTATCACTGAAAAGGTCAGCCTTTGTTCTGCTGCCTTTCTACCAGACAGGACTGATTGTAACACACTCTCATTAGTGTCACATTTGGGTTAAATATATATCCTACGGTTATATTAGTTTAGTAGTACTTTTACACGTCAATCTCCAGAAATGTCTTTATTTTCTTGTTCTGTGTGACAGCATGCCAAAATTAGTATATCCAGACATGCCTAGTAGAAAACATTGTCAGGTGTTTGTAGATCTAGACATTTGGCTAGTCTTTTTGAGTGAAAAATTATTTTGATATGTGGGGGTGGGTGGGGGGGGGGGGGGGGGGGGGGGGGGGGGGAATTAAAAAAAGGTATGACTGTTTCTATACTTTTTTTACTAACCATCATCTGAATATATTACCCTGTGCCTAGGCGTGCCTATATAATTTGTCTTTCAGTTTGGTGTATATTGTATGAAAATGAAATTTTAGATTATGTGTTTCCGTTTTGTTTGAGATTAACTTAAATCCCTAAAAAGAAAATTAATCCCTAAGTATTGACTTTTATTTCTAAATCATATATTAAATGGTCTCAAAATTCCAATAACGATAAAGACAAGTCACTCGCACATACTTACCAACTCAAGAGCTCAAGAACTGATCATGTTCATAAAGAGAAATGTATACATGTAGACAGCAAATATATGCCTATGAATATCAGGTTTTAACATGTTTCATATCATAATGATATCAGCTTTACTGAATTGAAGAAGTTTTTGAAGTTCAAGCATATGTGTACTTGTGAGAAGGATAGTTTCCAGTGTAACACTGTAAATCCTCTCTCCATCATCTGGAACAAAGACATTTATCATTTTGCCTCACAAAGGACATTTTTAGTTTTTCGGAAAATCAATTTTGCCCAATTTAATCACAACTCCCTGATCTCACAGTGACATCATCTCTGTCTTTACGCCAAGGAACTGTAACTGCCATCTTCAGACAAAGTTGAGGGTCTGCAGGAGGGGTAGACACATTCACAGAATTACATCATCTCTGTCTTCACACCAAGGAACTGTAACTGCCATCCTCAGACAAAGTTGAGGGTCTGCAGGAGGGGTAGACACATTCACAGAATTATATCATCTCTGTCTTCACACCAAGGAACTGTAACTGCCATCCTCAGACAAAGTTGAGGGTCTGCAGGAGGGGTAGACACATTCACAGAATTACATCATCTCTGTCTTCACACCAAGGAACTGTAACTGCCATCCTCAGACAAAGTTGAGGGTCTGCAGGAGGGGTAGACACATTCACAGAATTACATCATCTCTGTCTTCACACCAAGGAACTGTAACTGCCATCCTCAGACAAAGTTGAGGGTCTGCAGGAGGGGTAGACACATTCACAGAATTATATCATCTCTGTCTTCACACCAAGGAACTGTAACTGCCATCCTCAGACAAAGTTGAGGGTCTGCAGGAGGGGTAGACACATTCACAGAATTACATCATCTCTGTCTCACACCAAGGTACTGTAACTGCCATCCTCAGACAAAGTTGAGGGTCTGCAGGAGGGGTAGACACATTCACAGAATAACATCATCTCTGTCTTCACACCAAGGAACTGTAACTGCCATCCTCAGACAAAGTTGAGGGTCTGCAGGAGGGGTAGACACATTCACAGAGTTACATCATAGCTGTATAGGGACCGACTATTTGATATTCGGTGTGTTTGGGTAGGTTTGATTAGATACAACCAAAAAACTATTTTTTAATTTGCTATTTAAAACTATGAGCTTGAAACACCTTGCAGCAATGTGTTTTTTGTCCTTTTTACCTTTTTTATAATATCTGAAGCATAATTTTATTACCAGGCCCCCCTCACCCCCTTCCAGAATATCAACTGGTCCATCCGTAACTTCAATCCTAAGACAAAATTGAGGGTGTCTATGAGTGGTAGATTGACAATCACAGAGTTATAAGCCAATAATGAAGGTCTTCATTGGGATAAATACAGTCACATTACTCTCTTTTGCTTCCAGCATTTGTCAAAATTAGATTCTAAATGAGAGAATAACATCATTCTTCTGTTTATACTTTCATCCTCAGCCAAATATTGAGGGTATACAGATATTCACAACACACATCTTCCTTTCACAAGCTTTCACCACAGCTGAGAATCATCCTTAATATAATAAGTGACCAATTTGATTGTTTTATTAACAGTCAAAGTTAATGAGGGTCTTCATGAGGGGCAGTTACATGTATAAATAATGATTTTGAAAATGACCATTAACCTATATAAATGTTTATGTACCATATTATATAAAAATCTGTAAGATGTTTCAAGACTATAAAGTTGTTATGGTTGTTTTGGATGAAATGAGTTAAAATATATGTTGGTTGGTTGGCTGCCTCCTCTGTGCCCTCAAGGCCAGGTGATGCTAACATTCAGGGGTGAGTGATATATGATGGCGGACATGCCTATAATATATGATCACTGCTCTGATTGGCTAATGATGTCATTAGGGCCCCATGCTTCTCTAACAGCTGACTAGTTAGGGATTGCAGATGTTGACAAATGGCAATTGATTAGTGGATCTTCAATTAGCAGTTATTGAAAGCCCAATAGGACATATAGAGACAGTAGTCAAGATTCACAAAAGGCCTTAAAATTGGCAGTCTGGCCTAAATGTGTATAAATGAGAATATGTGCCTTGAAAGGGTCTGAATTTGGCACTCTGGCCTTGACAATGTGCTTAAATGTGAATATGTGCCTTGAAAAGGTCTGAATTTGACAACAGTGTTTAACTCTGCCATTAAAGTCATATAATACCATGATATATCTCTAATAATTCATATTGATGTCATGTAGCAATAGTGAAACACTGGTGCGTGGAATATTGGTATATTGTAATAGTTTAGTTGGATTTTCAGTCAGACAACAAAATAAATCAAGAATATCCAAACAAGTCTGTTAGAAAGCACTGTGGAGGCTTGTGATATCAGTGGTCATGCTTAGGTTGTGTTAGAGGAGATAAAGAAAATAAAAACTGACAGTATTCCCTTGTAACACTCACTTACCTTTCCCATAACGGAAATATACAGTCTTGGAAGGCAGAATTGTAGAACAAATAATTAGAATTCAGAAACAAATCAAACAGTCACAGCATCATAAAATGATTCAAACATCATTCGGTTCGCCCCGTTTTTGTTTCTAGGTTTGTCATCACCATACTCGTGCTCGTGGGTGTCACCAAAGTCTGAGACCTGCATCACTTCAGGCTGTCTACCCACCTTATGCTGACATGCCGTGGTATAACTGGAGTACTGTTAAAATCGACATTAAACGCAATTCTCTCAATCAACTAATCAATGATAAAATATTCTTAAGGCGAAATAATCACATTAGTGTGACATATTGCAGACTGTTTAAATAAGAACTCTCTTAGTTAGCAATCTGTTATAGATTTTGGGTAGGAATCGAGAAGGTATATATACTCAGGACAAATATGTCTTGGGTCAAGTGTGGTCTACAAATAGTTCACCATCTTTGCTCTGTACAAATAATACAGGTGTTTTTCATGTAAATGATGTTGAAGTGAGAGCCTATTTATATTCAGTGCAAATAGGAAAGTTGAGTATTGACCGAGAAATAAGACCCATTTGTAGGCATATCCAATAATTAAAACAGTATTTTGTGCTTATAACATACGGTAAAAATATTGTAATTGAGAGAAAATGTTATAATTTATTTACTTGATGATCATGCTTGCTACATCGTTATAACTAAAGACAAAATTGGAAGTTGGCCTGACCCAGACTTGATGTACAGGCCGTCAAGAATAAGCTGGAATATTATTCTCTACAGACTGTAAATAGTCCAGTCTGGATCATGCAAACAGTTATTATGTATTATGAGAACCGACCCATCGGGTACAAATAGTACACAATTAACAAAGGACCTATGGAGAAACAGTGAGGTCTTGATTTATTTTTTATTAAACCTTGTGGTTATGATGTAAGAAATGACAATAAAGTTCATCCCAATGCTGATATATTTTGGAAAAGAAACACTGTCACTTCTAGAAGTAGTACTGAGCTAGTCAGACGGGGTTCTGGGGACGAAAGGCTAACACAGTGCACATGGCTGAAATACAATGATATTACGAAACGTATGACTTGTGACGTGTTTGTGAGCAAAAGGTAATACTGTTTAGTCTATATTAATATAGATACTTAAAAAATATTATGACTTCCCTTTGTCAAAGACTACGTAAAACCTTCGACCATCGATCCAATTTAATCGCCTCAATCGACAACCAACAATGCATTACCGGTAAACCCAACTCACTAAACCCAACTTACACGCAAGTCAAAACCAAGATTTGTTTAGATGTTAGAGCTGTGGCTGTCTATATCAGTTAAATGTTTGACCACATACATTCTGATCCTCAACAACACACTTGAACAAAGCCCCAGTAGTGTGTTGGTGTCCATATCTGTACCTGGATGATATGCGACGGTTAGTCTCACACTTAGTGTCAGACTGTTCAGCTTGGATGATTGTCTGTGCTATTGTCCTGGTAATATAGGTAGCAGATCAATGGTCGATATGCTGTCTAA